GGATCTGATAAGTGGAAATGATTTGTGTAAGGTTTAACTTGATCTTTTAGTGGGAATAAGAAGAAGCAATTTATTACTTACGTAGGAGAGGAGATGATGTCAAAAGGAAAGTGTTCAGTGGTTGAAAAATGAACAGGATATGGAAAGGTCAGTTTGGACATCACAGAAATACTTTAGTTAAGGTTGTATAATCACAGGGTAAAAGGAATACTGTGATTAATACTGTGTAATAATTCAAGGAAAAACCAAAATATCAAATCATTATGTACTGTGTAACTTTAAGTATAAAAATAAAGATTTTTTGAGCCGGGGCAGACAGGAGAAAGAAGAGAAGAAAGAGAGAGAGAGCCCCATCAGCCAACTAAGCAGAGACTTCTCGATTGCTTTCATTTTCGCCGACTCCATGTCTCCTCTCATGCTCCACGACCCTGCAAGAGCTGGACTCCAATTTGTAATTCTTGGCATACTAAACCATGTGATTGTCAGATTCAAAATATCTGTCCATTTCAGCTTACTACGGTATTGATATTAGTGCATTCCATTTCATTTTTGACAACTTTAAATTTTTGTAGATTCATACTTGGTGCATTCCATGTCCCAATTATTAATGAATGTTTACAGCTATTTTTTCTCATTTGAGTTGTTCCCAATCAGCAAAGGAAGGTCTTGAAAGCTTTACTCCCTTTGAATCATCCTAATCAACTCTATTTGAGGAAGCAGCTCTTCACTAGTTGTGTTTTGAGTAACTTCCAGCCTGAAGGGTTCATCCTCTGGCACTATATCTGATAATATTCACTTTTTATTCATAATATTTCAATATTCTTGTGCTAGCTGACAGTGTTCTACTGCTACTCACAAAATTTTTAGTGTCTGAAAATGTAGTAGTCTCTGTCTTTGTGTTTTTAGCATATCTTAGTCTGGAAGTTCAGCTATAACCATGGATGACCCTCACAAGCCACCACAGTACTACAAACAGAGATGAGTGGTGGACAATGAGTTACTACATAATCATAAATAACAATGATGAGTCCATGAAACATATTATAGCATGGATGATCCTGGAGAGCTTAATACTAAGTGAAATAAGTCCAGTACACAGGCAAAATATTGTAGGATCCATTTTTTGTAAAACAACTATACACACACACTAACACAAACAAGGGGACTTCAAAAAAGTTTGTGGAAAAATAGAATTAAAAGATAATGGATTTTTTCCACAAACTTTTTCATATAAACTTATGTGTGTGTGTGTTTGTGTGTGTGTAGATATATCTATATATAAATGTATAGATATGTAGATATACAGAGAGAGAAAGCAAGAGAGAAGGACTAATATTCATTGTTCATGGGTGGTTTTGAGGAAGAGTTGTGGGGTAGAGGTAGGAAGCATGCTTTAGATCTTGGATACTTGCTATTTTTAGTGATAGAAAAAGTGATACCACATGTAGGTTTAGTGAGCACAGCATGACCACAGTAAATTATGTCACTGAGAAGTACTCAAGAGAAAATAATGCAGGCACAAAATAATTTGACTTATACTAGGAACAATTCACACAAAGATTCAAAAATGAATGATCACATTCATATGGGCCCATGCATAAGGTACATGGGTAGGTACAGTTGTCTACATACATGTGAACAGAAATATATCTGTACATAAATGTAAATAAAAATATGTGATATGTGTGTGTAGTAACATATATTCATTGAAGACACAACTACAGATACTCCTCAAAAACCTTCTGAGATTGTTTTTTAAGATTCGAACTCTTAGGACCATGGACTTATAGAACCATTTCATCTGGTATAATATAGCTCACAAAGTTCATGTTCTGCATACTATTGACAAATTGAAATGGAATAGTGTTGCATTCATAATCAAAAAGAACATATCAAGATCAATTTTGAAATACAACACTGTCTGTGATAGTCTGGGTGTGGGGCTGTGGGTTAATGCACTGGACTGCAAAGTTGCTTTGACCCACAAGGTTGGTGGTTCAAGTTCACCACCTTCTCCTTGGAAATCCTATACAGGGTCACTATGGGTAAGAACCATCTCAGCGGCACTTAACAACAACAGGGAAAACCAGATAATTCCCCTATTATTCAAATTTATGCACCAACCACTAAAGCCAGTGATGATGAAATAATTTGATGCATTAGACTCTGAAGACTGAAAACCAGAAGAAGTTGTGGGATAACATAAAGAACATTATACAGGAAGAAAGCAAAAATTTATTAAGAAGACAAGAAAGAAGGAAAACACCAAAATGGATGTCAGAAGAGACACTGAAACTTGCTCTCCAGTGTAGAGATGATAAATCAAATGGAAGAAATGAGGAGGTAAAAGAGCTAAATAGAAAACTTCAAAGGTCAACTTGAGAAGACTGAGTCAAATATAAAAAAAAAATGTGCAAATATCTGAAATTAGAAAACCAAAAAGGAAAAACACATTCAGCATTTGTCAACCTGAGAGAACTGAAGACAAAATTCGAGCCTCAACTTACAATATTGAAAGATTTGGAAACCTGATACAAGGTCGCTATGAATAGGAACCAACTCGGTGGCACTTAACAACAAACAACAACAATGAGCAAAATATTGACTAAAGCAGAAAGCATCAAAGGAAGATGGAAGGAATACACAGAGCCACTCTACCAAAAAGAAATGGTTGATGTTCAACCGTTTCAAAAGGTAGCATAGGATCGAGAGCCAATGATACTGAAGGAAGAAATCCAAGGTGCATTGAAGGCATTGGCAAAGAGCAAGGCAATGAAAGTTCATGGAATACAAGTTAAAATTTTTCAACAAAATGATTCAGCACTTGAGGTACTCACTCATCTCTGCCTAGAAATTTGGAAGACAGCTAGCTGGCCAACTGACAAGAAGCAAATCATACATGTGCCCATTCCAAAGAGAGATGAATAAACAGAATGTGGAAATCATCAGACAATATCATTAGCATTGCATGCAAGTAAAATTGTGCAAAAGTTAATACAAAAACGACTGCAACCATACATTGACAGAGAATATCCAGCAGTTCAAGATGGACTCAGAAGAGGATGTGGAATGAGGGATACCATTGCTGACATTAGATGGATCTTGGCTAAAAGCAGAGAATACCAGAAAAATATTTACCCGTGCTTTATTAACTACACAAAGGTTTTTGAATGTGTGGATCATGACAAGCTCTGGACAACACTGCAGAGAATGAGTATTCTGGAGCAATTAATTGTGCTCATGACCAAGAGGTCTATGTGCAGGTTCCAATGAAACAAGGGGACACCTTATGGTTTAAAATTAGGAGAGGTGTGCTCCATGGTTGTATCCTTTCATCATATTTATTAAATCTGTATGCTGAGCACATAATTCAAAATGCTGGATTAAATGAACATAGGCATGGCATTAGGTTTAGAGGAAGACTCATTAACAACCTGCGATATGCAAATGATACAACCTTGCTTGCTGAAAGGGAAGAGTGCTTAAAATACTTAAGGATGAAGATCAAAGACCTCAGCCTTCTGTATGGGTTGCACCTCAACATAAAGAAAAGAAAAATCCTCATCGTTGGACCAATAAAATCCATATAAATGGAGAAAAAAGTTTAAGTTGTCAAAGACTTCATTTTGCTTGGATCAACCATCAGCACTCCAAGAAGTAGCAGTGAAGAAATGAAACAAAATATTGCATTAAGCAAATCTGATGCATAAGACCTCATTAATGTGATGAAGTTTGAGGACTAAGGTACCTTTCATCTAAGCCATGATATTTTCAATCACCTCATATGCTTGTGAAAGTTGGACAGTTAATAAGGAGGACCATAGAATAACTGACGCATTTGAGTTATGATGTTGGAGGAGACTATTAAAAGTACTATGGACTGCCAAAAGATCAAACAAATCTGTGTTGGAAGAAGTACAGCCAGAATGCTCCTTGGAAGTCAGTATAGCCAAACTTCATCTCTCATACTTCAGACATACTATCAGGAGGGACCAGTCCTTGGAGAAGGATATTATGTTGGTAAGATGGAGGGAAGGAGGATAAAGAGGAAGAACGAAATGGATTGGCTCAGTGGCAGCAACAATAGATTCAAACATAGCAATAATGATGAGGTTAGTACAGGACCGTGCAGTGTTTCATTCTGTTGTGCATAGTGTTGTGAGTCAGTATCAACTTGAAAGTATTTAACAAGAGCAAAAATCCGAATGAAGTGAGTAACATGGGTTCTTAAAAATTTGCAAGCAGACATGTAAGGTACAATGATTGGCCTCTACTTATCAGGAGCAAAAGAGTTAACCAAAATCTCAGAGGAAGCAACTCCACAATGCTGACAGCCTGCTTAAGCCACACACAGCCTCATCTACTCTGAGACTAAATGGTGTCCTGCTACTACCACTGATGATTCTGATTAGGGTTAACAATGCTGCTATTACTAAGTGTAGTTGAGTCAGTTCTGACTCACAAAGGTCCAGTATACTATCCTGCAGCGCCACACCAGGACTCTACCCCCCCCCATTCCCACCGATATATATGGAGTTCTGCTGTGGTGCTGTGGGTTAATGTGCTGGACTACATAGTTGGTTGAACTGTAAAATTGGTGGTTCAAGCTCACCAGCAGCTCCTCTGAAACCCTATACAAAGTTGCTATGGGTCAGAACCAACTCAATGGCACTTAACAAAAACAACTACATATATATATATATATACATACACACACACACATACAGGCATGTATGTATATATTGTTGTTGTTAAGTGTTGTTGAGTCAGTTTCAACGGACAGAGACCTTGTATAGGGTTTCCATAGAGCAGCTGGTGTGTGTGAGTCATTGACCTTGTGATTAGCAGTGCAGTGCTGATCCTACAGCACCGCTCCAGGATTCCATATATGGGATATTATTATATTGTTACTATGATGCAGAATATCAAATATCAAATACATAACCAATAAAATAAATTAATAATAAATATTGTGTAACAGCATTTAGTAAAATTCTTACTGTACAAGTTGCTTCCTCATCAAATGTAAACATGTGATTTATTGAGCATCGTTCATGAAGAGGTTCTAGAGGAGTAATTTTCAGTGGACTGGTCCAACCTTAAAACAAAAATGTATGTATGTGCTTTGAATTAAGAACAAAACAAAGACATTTCTTTTTCTACAAGAAGTATTTAGCAGTACTTTGTAGTAATAATCAATTTTCTAATGGGCTATAAATAAATTTTCTGGAATACAAGCAGTGTGAACAGAACATCTGTGGCATTTACTTATGGCATAATTATAATTGTGCAAAATTAATTATTATTGAAAGAGATTTTTGGGGTACTATCAATTTATATGTTGTTGCTGTTGTTAAGTGCTGTCGAGTCGATTCCAACTCACAGCGACCCTATACAGGGCTTCCAAGGAGCAGTTGGTGAGTCTGAACTGCCAAACTTGCAGTTCAAACCAACCTTGCCATCCATCACTTTACCCCCAGTGTCATAGCAGGACTCAGTTTATATGTTGTTATTGTTGTTAAGTGCCATCAGGTCGGATAAGGTTCCCAAGGAGCAGCTGGTGAGCTTGAACAGCCAAACTTATAGTTCAAATGGCTTTGCAGTCTGGTACATTAACCCACAGTGCCACACCAATACCAAGTGAGTCTGGTTATTATTCTTAACAGTTAAGTTAGAAATACAGAGAGATTTGTATGCTGTAGAGTCTTATTCCAATTCATAGTAACCCTATAGAACTGAGTAGAACTACTTAGATCTGGTCCCACAGAGCTACTGATTAGTGTAGCCTAGTGCTTAACTGTTATGCCACTAGACCACCTAGAAAATATAAAAGAAGCCTTAAAAATTATTGAGAAATTAATAGAAGTAAATGAGGATATAAAAAACTAGTATTCCTGGTTTTGAGGTGCTTATGATCAGATGGAAAAGACAGAAACATAAGTGCAGGATTTAAAATGTATAATTTCACTGTTAGGTGGCAACTGCTATAATAGCTAAGTAGGATATGTTACCCAACGAGATTGTAGAGAGGAAGATGGCATCTGACCTAGTCTTTAAAATTGAGTAGGGTTTGATTATAAAAAGGGGCAGTAGAGGCAGTACATTCCAGACAGGAAAACATGTGCAAAGACATGATTGTCTTGGGAGCATAACACAGTGCATGTAAGGAATTACAAAGAATGATTGGGCCTCACTGGATTATAAAGTGTCAACCAGTGAATGGGGGGGGGGGGAATGAACAAGATGCTAGAAACAGGTTCAGAACATGAAGTCCTTGTAGGTCATGCAAAGGTTTTGGATATAACCTGTAGATGGGTCGACATTGCAGTAGCTTTAAAAGAGAGATTAGTAATTTTGACAAATAGCCCTGGTTGGATTGGAAGTTAGCATAGGTTGGAAAATGGTGTAGTGCCTTTGATACTTCCCATGGAGATTCTTTTTCCTACTCCACGGGGAATTCTGGCTTTGTTATTTACTTCTTATTTTTGTACTCTGAATTGATGCAATTTTATAAAAATTGTGTTTAAAAAACTACAATTTGATATATAATGAGGGGAAAAGAGCATCCCTACTGTCTAGATAGAAGGAATACACAGGCACTGCACCAAAAATAATTAGTCACTGTTCATTTACTTCAAAGGGCACCATATGATTAAGAACCAAAGGTATTTAAGGAAGAATTCCAAGCAGCACTGAATGAATTGGTGAAAAACTAATCTCCAGAAATTGATGGAATATCAGTTGATACCTGGCCAACTGATTGGAAGAGATCCACATTTGTACCCATTTCAAATAAAGGCAATCCAATGGAATATTTCCTGGTGTGGCACTGTGGGTTAATGCGTCAGACTGAAAAGTCATTTGAACTGCAAGGTCGGCAGTCCAAGCTTACCAGCTGTTCCTTGGAAACCCTATACAGGGTCGCTAAAGGTCAGAGCCGACTCGATGGCACTTAACAACAACAACAACAATCGAATATGTAACTCAATTAACAATATCATTAATATCGCATGCACGTAAAATTTTGATGAAGATAATACAAAAACTATTGAAATAGTTTATCCACGAGGAGCTGTCTCATTAGGAACTTGTACATAGATCAAGAGGCAGCCATTCAAAGTCAGGGTTGCATCTTTTCACCATACTTATTCAGTCTGTATGTTGTTTTTAAATGCTGTCAAGTCGATTTTGACTCATAGAGACCCTTTATAGGGTTTCCAAGAAGCAGCTGGTGTATTTGAACCACCAACCTTGTGGTTAGCAGTCCAGTGCTGATCCTACAGCATCATATGTATACTAAGTAGATAATGCAAAAAGTTGTATTAAATGAGGAAGAATGTGACATCATGATTGGAGGAAGACACATTAACAACCTGTTATATTCTGATGGCACAACCTTACTAGATGAAAGTGAAAAGAACCTGAAATATTACTGATGAAGATCAAAGGCTACTTCCTCCTTCAGTATGATTGTACCTTAATGTAAATAAAACAAACATTTTATCACAACTGGAGCAATAAATAACATCACAATTAATGGAGAATAAATTGAAATTATCAAAAACTTCAACTTGCTTGGATCCACAATCAATGTTCATGAATGGAAAGCAAAAGTAAAGAAATCAAACAACATACTGCATTAGGCATATTTGAAACATGTGTCTTCTTTAAAGTGTTCAAGAACAAAAATATCATTTTGAGGATTAAAGTGCATCTGACCCAAGTCCTGGTATTTTAAATAGCCTCATGTACATCTAAAATTTGGCAATGAACAAGGAAAACTGAAAAAGAATTTATGTATTTTAATTATGGTGTTGGAGAAGAATATTGAAAGTACCATGAACTGACAGAAGAACAAACAAATCTGTCCTGGGAGAAGTAAAGCCAGAATGCTCTCTAGAAGCAATAATGGTGAGACTTCATCTCTCATAGTTTGGACATATTATAAGGAGAGACCAGTCACTACTCACCAAAATAGGATGTAAAGCATTGTCTTCACATCTTTGTTATGCCAGTTGTCTTTATGTCTTTGTTATGCCAGTTGACCTTGATCTGAGACCTCAAGTCCACAGACATGTTTTTCAAGCTGTTTGCTTTAGGCTAAGAAGCTTTCATTACTGTGCCCTTTGCAAGTTCTACTATATATGTGGTTATATTTGCCGTGCATACAATGGTTTCGGGCAGTTCAAAAAAAAGTGGCTGCGCTACTCCGCAGGAGAAAGATAAGTCTTTCTGCCCCCATGAAGATTTACAGCCTTGGAAATCTTATACAGGGTCACAACAGAGTTGGAACCAACTCTACAGCACATAACCACCACCACCACCATAGCAGTTTGGCATTGTGGGGTAATGCACTGGACTGAAAAGTCTGTTTGAACCACAAGGTTGGTGGTTCAAACTCACCAACCGCTCCTTGATAACCGTATATAGGGTCGCTATGAGTTAGAACAGTCTCGATGGCACTTAACAACAACACACATGCATATATAGAAATATCCTCCATTAAAGATATATATATATGTTCATGAGTGTAGTCCCATTTACCTTCCTGTTCAGTTTATGTGTATCTGTGTATCTATGTATCTACCCAGAAATTGCTGTTAGCATTGTTACAGGATTGTGTATGTAATTAATTTGGCATTTAACTCTTTTGTTCCTCCCAGTGTCTTACTTTGCCTTGCTCATTTTGTGCTGACCTTCCACTTGTATATTGCCTTTCCCATAACCAGAGTTAATGCTTGTCTATGATAGTGATCTCTCTTATATTCTTAACCCTGATAACCATCAATGCTTATTTCTGTGTATAAATCTTTTTCTTGAATTTTTATAATGGTGGTCACATACAATATTTGTCCTGTTGTGACTAATTTAATTCAGCATAATGTCTTCCAAGTCCATCCATGTCATGATGTGTTTTGCAGATTAATAACTATGCTATAAGTTGCATAGTACTTCATTGTGTTACTGTACTATAGTTTACTTATTCATTCACTTGTTGATGGGCACTTACACTGTTTCCATCTTTTGGTTGTTCTTTAATAATCATAGATGTGCATGCCTCTTATTTCTTTAGCATATATACACAGTTGTGAGATTGCTGGATCATATGGTATTGCTATTCCCAACTTTCGTAAGGAGGCCCGATACCGTTTTCCATAGATGTTGTGTCATTTTACAGACCTACCAGCAGTGTATGAGGGTTCCATCCTCTTCACATCAAAATTTGTTTTCTGCTTTTGATTTTTTTTTTTTTTTTTAACTTTGCTATTAATGCTGGGTTGAGGGCATATCTCATTATTGTTTCAGTTTGCATTTCATAATAGATAACTAACCACTTATCTATTGTGATATGATGGCTTGTGTGATGCTGCCATACTGGAAGCTATGGCATCAATATTTTAAACTTCAGTAGGGGCACTCATGGTGGACAGGTTTCACTGGAGATTTCAAACTAAGACAGACTAGGAAGAAGAAGAGGTGAACCATTTCTGAAACATTAGTCACTGAAACTCTTATGAAGAGAAGGAAACATTGGTGATATAGTGCTAGGATATGAATCCAAAATATGACTGGGGAAGAATTATGTTCTCAAAGTAGAATTGACCTTAATGATGTGGATGGAAGGAAAAAAATCAAGACTTTCATTTGCTGATAGGGCACAATTCAAAATGAAAAGAAACAACTGCACATATCCATTAATAATCAGAATGTGGAGTGTACAAAGTATGAATCTGGGAGAATTGGAAGTTGTCAAAAACAAAATGGAACACATAAAGATCGATACATTAGTGAGCTGAAATGGACTGGCATTGGCAAGTTTGAGTCAGGTAATCTTATGATTTACTATGCCAGAATGACAAGTTGAGGAGGAATGATATCACATTCATAATTAAAAAGAGCCTTTCAAGATCTTTCTTGATGTACAGTACTGTCTGTGTTCGAATAATATTTAATGATGCAGGAAGCATCCAAAGAAGTTGTAAGGGATACTTGCAGGCATTGTACCTAAAAGAACTAGTCAGTGTTCAATAATTTCAACAGGTATAATATGACCAGGAACAAATGGTGTTGAAGGAAAAACTCTAAGCTGCACTAAAG